CCAGCAAGGAGCGACGGCAGCGGCTCTGCCTCCGCGTTGTCCCCGTACGGGCAGCGGCCTCCCTACCTGCCCCCCGCGGCGCCCCGGCCTCCCCGCCGCCCCCGTGGCCGCTTTTATGGCCCCGGCGCCGTCCCCGCGCGCTGCCGCGTTGCGCCCGGCTTCCTGTTTGTGCAGCGCGAGCGGCTGCGGTGAAATTTCCATTACATGCTGGACAGACGGGGGGGGGAGAAGGGGGACAGAGGGAAGAGAAGAAAAAAAAAAAGGCAAGAAAAGGGGTTTTGGCAGTTCTCTTGGCTTATTTGGCATTGGGGAGCGGGAGGGATCCCCGCAGGATCCTCCCGTGCCGCTGGTCCCCATGCAGAGCTGTTGTGGGGGCTGCATTCCCATCCCATGCGTGAGGCCCTGGTCCTAACCGACACCCTACAGACCGTCAGTTTCCTCCCCAAAAACCTTCCCAAAATGCTGCTGCTCCGCGTGGAGCCTGGTCCCGAGGCTGGTTTTGGTGCCTCTCCCTCCCCTCTGCCCCCCACGACATCTGCAGCTTTCGTCTCCCCGCCCGCTCCCCCATCCCAGTTCTGTTTATTAAAAGCAGAGCAGAAATAATTGGGATCCTGGATTGCTTCCTCCCCACTGACGGTTGCCTTTCTCCAACCCCGGTATTCCAGAGCCTGCCATTGGCACCGGCCCTGCTGGAACCCTCCCTGTGCAGCAATTCAGCGCTCCCCATCCACCCGCCTGTTGCACTGGAGCACGTGACTATTTTTGCCTGCAATTTGCAAATTAGCATAAATATGAAATAATCAATTCCTGCTAATTAATAGCAAAATTTTATTTATTCTTTTCTTCAAGACACAACAGGGAAGACGGATGAAGCAGCTCGGTTTGGCAAGGCCATCGGCAGGACGCTGGCAAAAGGCAGGTCGTGGAGTCGTGTCGTTCCGGGCAGCGCGAAGCCGCGTTGTTCCGGGCAGCCGTTTGCAGGTGTGTCGCAGCCTCCCTGCTCCGGTGCGGTGGGAAGCGGCAGGCGAGGCGGGCGGACGCGCTCGCTGCGGAGCTGCCCGCGGGGAGAGCCCTGCGGAGGCCGCGGCCAAAGCTCTGCCCCGCGAGCAGCCCCTGCCGCGGCGCTGCATCGAGGGCCGGTGCTCAGCGCGGGGCCAGTGCATCCCATGAGTTTGCTAAAAGTCATCCTCATTGCAGCGCATGGTTTCCGTTTGAAATAGTGTTATGTGAAGCTCTGTGTGTTTGTTGGTGGGGGTGAAGGTGCTTTTAAATGTCTTTGATTTTTACAAATGTGTCTGCAGTGGGTGAGCTCGGCCAGAGGCTACTCTAAGCACCGCTCATTTAATGCACACTGCGAGTGAAGCGTTTCCAGCGGTCCCGTTAGGCTGCAATGTGCCTGCAATCGCGGGGCTGGAATGCGCTGGGTGGGAAATGCCCCTTCTCCCCCATTTTGATGCGGACGCCCAACACGCTGCCTTCCTCAGTGGGGAGCTAGGTTTGAAACAAGCCCCAGCTTAGGCGGTTTGGAGCAATTTCCCTCCTTGGGGGTAACCGGGATTGGAGCCTGTTTTTTACCAGCAGCGCAGCTGGGAGCCCCCGGCTCCCTCCTCGGAGCTGCTGCAGCCCCAGCTGCAACGAAGCACTTGGGTCTCAGCAAGTTTTGGGCCCAGCCTGGTGCCCCTGCAACTCCCCCGTAGCCACACGAGGCCCTGAACGGCCTCTTTGATGGCCGAGGAGATAATTGTTCACTGCTTTTTTGTTTTTTTAACAACTCCGGGCTATTCTTAGCAGTGCGGGGCAGGAAGCCGAGCACCACGGGGAAGCCGCCATGATGCTGGCGCCAGCCGGACCCTGGCGGGAGAGGGG